CCTGAGGGATTAGATTATTTGGTGGTGTACTATGATGCCTCGATTTCAGGGTTAAGAGCAGTACTGATTCAGAGGGGGCACGTGATAGCTTATGCCTCGAGGCAGTTGAAGCCTCACAAGGCTAATTACCATACTCACAACCTGGAATTAGGGGTAGTGGTGTTTGCCCTCAAGATATAAAGACACTTCTTATAAGGGGTTTGTTTCACAATCTATACGGATCAAAAGAGTCTGAAGTACTTGATGGATCAACAGATTCTCAACATGCGGCAGAGGAGGTGGTTGGATGTGTTGAAGGATTATGATTGCGATATCTTGTACCACCCCGAGAAGGCTAACGTGGTGGCCGGTGCTTTGAGCCGCAAGGCGACGGGTTCCCCGATGGGGAGTGTTTGTTTGAGGATGACGGTGATCTTTCCATTATTGGATATGATATAGGAATCCCAAGTCGAGGGGGTGAAGAAGGAAAATTGGAATATTGAGCGGATTCGGGGGCAGTATCCCTTGTTTGTTAAGGATAGCTGAGGTCTCTTGACTTAGTGTGGCTGGGTGTGGGTACCGGTGATTGGAGGTGTGAGGCAGAAGATGTTAGAGGAGGTGCACAAGTCCAAGTTCTCTATACATCCAGGTGCTACGAAAATGTATAGGGACTTGAGACTGAGTTATTGGTGACCCTACATGAAGCAAGAGATCGCCTGGTTTGTGGAGCGGTGCTTGACCACCAGGAAGGTCAAGGCTGAGTATCAACGACCTCACGTCAAGGTTCAGCCACTACCCATTCCCATGTGGAAGTGGGAAGAGATCACTATGGACTTCATCACGAAGTTGCCAAGGACGGCAAGGGGTGTGGATGCCATATAGGTGATCGTGGGCAGAATGACGAAGAGGGCCCACTTTAATCCAATCTCTAAGAGTATATCTACCGAGAAGTTGATGGATATCTATGTGCGAGAGGTGGTGGCTAGGCACGGAGTGCCAACCCTTAATCAAAGTCAAATTCAACAGTCTTAGTCAACAGTCCATGTTGACCCGACTCGTCAAGTGTATCTAGCAACTCGTCGAGTTTCTTAAGAACTCAGAAGTCACCCGAAAAACCCTAATTGACTTGCCGAGTTTCCAAACAAATCATCAAGTCCATGCATGTCCATATGTCGGGAAAACCCTAACTAACTCGTGGAGTCGACTCGCTAAGTTCATGTAGAATCAAATACGGAAAACCTTCGTCCGACTCGCCGAATCAGCTAAGCGAGTCGTCGAGTTCATGCAGTCCATCACTCATACAAATGTTTTTAAACCACCCCAAAGCTCCATATTGCAGATCTAACCTCCTAGGATATGATTTCCACATAAAGTTGCAAACTTTACGTACATGCATGGTCCTAAATGCCAAAACTAGACTAAGAGAAAGGTTAAATCAAAGAGAAAGTCCCAAGCTTGCCAAATCTCATAACTTTATAGTTATAAGGTCCAAGGGGAGTCCAGATCTAAAGTTACAACTTCTGATCTTTCCCTAATACTCGAAATGACTCCCAAATGTGCTAAAGATAGCCCTAAACCCAAACATACGGAGATTTAGCTAAAGATAAACCAAGGTAACGACTTGTTACTTTCAAAATGATGCCAAGATGAAGTAGAGTCATATCTACAAGCTCCTTTTTGCTCCAAGCTTCTCACACTTGAAACCTTCTTCACACAAAGCACCAAAATCACTCTTTAAGCCTCACAATCACTCAAGGACAAGATTAATAGTGGTAAGGGATTGGAGGAAGGGACTTAAGGTCCTTTAAATAGGGTGAAAACCCTAAAAATTAGTGTTTCATCTCCCATCTCCTACACGTAGATTCTGGGTCCTCTGACTTGTTGAGTAGATCCAATAAGACACATGGGCTAACCTTCTTCGCCTCCCAAACAACCACCGCGACACTAGCCTTCACTTCAACTATGACCTCATTGATCTCAGCCACATGTTCCTCCTCATTCTTAACTTTTTCTTTGGAAAAATTATACACCCTTTCCAAGAGCTCATTGTTCATATCCTCCTATTTTTAAAAACATGCTCGGTTTGAGCAAGCTTGATTGATCCTCGGTAGAAAAGGAGATGTGGTCAGCAACCTAAGAAAAATGATGATTAGTAAAAAGTAAAATCAAAAAGGGAAAAGCACTTAAGGATTGAGAGAAAGAGATCAGCTTCCTTAATGCCTCATGTGTTCCAAGATTCTCAGGATCCTAGGTGTTTCGGTAAAAAATTACGCAAGTATAAATCAACCAAATTAAATGAGAGGTTGTGATGTTCGAATTGTGCAATAGAGAAAGGTAAAGAGAATGACATGATTGTTTACAAGGAAAGCCCTTGATCCTTGTTAGGATCTCCGACACAAACCTTGGAAGGTGATAATGATCACCTACCTTGATGATTTTATTAATATAAAATGATGATTATAGAGAGTATTTTAGTAAGAACAAGTAACAAAGTGTGTAGAGTAAGCTAAGAGTAGGTAGAGTGTGTCGTGTGCGAGATACATATGTCAACTTATAGTCTAAACTAGAGAAAAAGATGTCTGATATTACCGGGATCCTCTATGACCAGCTTTGTGAACATTGTTTGACTTTGTATTCCGGGTCTTTAGCATAGTTGAAACGACTCTCTGTTGAGAATAAGTCTTCTCTTGACTATTTCTGCACATCTGTTAATTAAGAACGAAAGATAACCGTTATAAATGTTAGTAAATAATAATAACGGTAATAGTCAGGATCCTGAGATAGTTGAGGATCCTAAATATCTGATGAGGTTTGAGGATCTTGAATGCTTTGAGAATCCTGACCCTAAAAATTGCTCCCAAGTTATTCCTGAAAATATAGGAGTTAATTTCAAAAATATTAAAGGAATAACTTAAAAATAAATTAAAAAGAGAATATAAAGAAGAGTTTAAAAATTGTCCCTTAATGGATAAGTTTTATCCATCTTGAGGTAACCGAGAAGCAGTGAAATCATCTTTCTTATGTGTTTTTTGTTATAAATGTGGGCTTCCAGTAATTTTTTCTTTACTCTCTTCAATCGTTATTGTAAGGTCAAGATTTGTTAGTTTTGGCTAGGCATTCATATGTATAGTTTTTGTTAGTGTTTACAGTTGGGTGGGGGTTTTCGTTGGAGTGTTTTTGGTTCATGTAAAGTTTACGGTTCTTGTGTCATTTACGACTGTAAACAGGGTTTACGGTTGATGTTCCCGATAAATAGTGTCAGTGTTGTGAAAAGTAGTTTACAGGTCATAGTGTGTGTATTGAGTCCATTGTATCTGACTTGGGTATTTTAGTAAATTGTAAATTTATGGATGTTTTATTTATGGTAAATATAGATGGTGGAGTTCATGGCTGTGATTTAAGAGTTTGATCTTATCACTACAGATTCGACAGTTGTGAGGTGAGTTTTCCTCACTATGCTCAAGGCTCGAAAGCACCAAGGCGGTCCCTTTTGGATTGTTATCCTGATATGTTATGCTAGTGTGATTCGTTAGATCAGTATGCTGGCAGATAGGATGACGTTATACTATTATGATCTGTTAGATCAATATCCTGGTAGATAGGATGTTATTATGCTGTTATGATCTATTAGGTTAGTTTGTATGTCTATAGACTATTATGTGATTATATGATATATGTGCACATGTTTGATTGGTGTTGAGGCTTATCTGCTTTGTGCGAAAGTCAATAGACTAGGGCATTCAAACTCGATGGTTGTGGGCCGTGAGTATTCCATCCCGAGGATGATTAGACTCGTAGTGTGTAGGCATTCCAACTCGATGGTTGCAGGCTTGGGGTATTCCATCCCGAGGATGATTGGACCCATATTATGTTGGTATTCCAACCCGATGGTTGAGGGCCTGGGGTATTCCAACCTGATGGTTGACTGGACCCATAGTATGTTGTTTGTGATTATATGTGTATTGTTGTGTATGTGTATTTTAGGGGAGCTCACTAAGCTTCGCGCTTACAGTTTCAGTTTTGGTTCCAGGTAATTCGGATGATCACCGGAAGGCGAAGGCGTAATCATACAGCTCCTCACATTTTTATGCTTTTAATTTCTAGGATACTCTGACATGAAACTATTTTGAAAACACTTTGTAATAATTAATGGTTTCTTTAATTGGTTGAAAAGTTTTAAATTGGCTTGAATTTTATGGGTGTTACAAGTTGGTATTAGAGCCTCGGTTTGAGTGATTTGGAGGAACACTCGTGTGAATGCAGTCTCAAATCAAGGAAAAAGATTTTCAAAATGATTTTTAAATGGTCTTCAAAATACTAAAGGAGGGTGCAGAGTGTACGATCAGCCGGAGCCAGTAAGTAGACTCCAAAATACCATATAGTTATTTGATTTTATGATATGTTAGAACAACATGCTAGTACTAGGTTAGGGATCTTCAGAAATTGCATGATAGAATTGCCTGATTACAAGATGCCTGGTAGCCTAGGGTTATCCTATCAAGTATTGAAGGAGTTAGTTAAATTTGGTAAGTTTGTCGAAGTTAAAATCACTCCTATTGTTAGTTCCATTAACGCTGAGGTTGTCGAGGAACATGTGGCACCTAAACCAAAATTTCAATTTGCCTTTGAAGAGGTTGAAGTATTTGATGATGAATAAGATCAAGAGGATCAAGGAAATAATTTTTCAGAAAATGAGTTTGAAAATTTTATACAACAAAGCATTTTAATACGAGAAGAGGATGTGGCTGTTACACCTCCGAGCGTGACTGAAAGGGAAAGGGACACAATGGTGCAATCTTCCTCACCTACCCTTGAACAGATGGATGCTCTTATAGCCGAACATCAACGAACTACAACCCTCCCCAAAAAGTTTATGTTGATGCTGAGCCTCCATTTGGATTTTATCTAGAAGACTCCGACCACGCTTTACTCCCAAGGAAGTGTAAATAAGAGATACTAGGGCGGGAGTGCTTATCACATAATTCATTCAAAAGAAATCGACACCGATTGAGCCTGGTTCTATGGATCAAAACCTTGAAAGCACATTCACTGAGTCCTCTCCAGTGATACAAGATATTTTAAGCCCGTTACCTGAGTCCACTCCTATGGATCAGGATTTTCAATGCCCTATTATTAAAGAAGTAGTTTTGCCTTCTGAAGGAGCTCAAGCTTCTGGAGGCTCTTTTGAAGCCCCTGAGTCGGATATTTCCAAAGGCAAAAGCAAGTTACCTGAGATTGAATTTGTGGATTTCGCTCTGCTTTAGAACAGAGTTTTTGATTTGGAACAAAGCACTGCTAAAAAGGATTTGATTATTGGAAAGCAGGACATTCGAATCAGTAAGCTTGAAAAGGAGAACTACATTAAAGATGCAAATATTTCAGAACTTCAAGCAAATCTTGGTGGTCTAACTGCTCTTTTCTTTGACCTGAAACAACAGTTACATCTAAAGTTTGGTGATGAATTTCAACCTTTGAGCGCTAAGGGAGAAAAGATTTATGCTTCTAGTTCAGGTGCTGCCAATCCAACTTCTCAGTCTTCAAGTGAGAGAGCTGTAAGACCTGCTCCATATCAGAATCTTGATATATTTTTTTATCTTCTGGTCTTGCTTCTACTCAAGAAAGAAGAGAGAAGCAAATTAAGGTTGAGCAGCTGAAAGGAAAGATGCTAGTGATGAGGCATTCAGACCAAAATGCTCCAGATAATCACCCTGAGATGTTTTTTCAGGGAAACTAAGAAGAAATACATAGATAAATATGGGGATGGTTTCGGTATCATCATGTGGGGTAATGATTCTAATAAAAGGATGTGGGTCGTGAAGCGAAAAAGTGGAAGAATTGAATACTATGAGAAGAAAGTTGATTTCTTGTCCGGGAGAAAAGTTGATCTTTCCAAACTCATCCACACACCCTTCCACAATCCAACCAATGATACCATGGCCTAGTCTTTTAAGATTTTTCTTGAGACTAAAGCGAAAAATAAATTTGAATATTTAAAGACTGCTTCATCATTTACTAAAAAGGTCAAGGGTGTCATTGATCCTCGAACAAAAAAGACTCTGGTAAATGTCATGTGGCCACCCACAAAGCAAGCCAAAAGGATTACTCTTCCCAAACATTTACATGAAGGCACTTTGGATTCAATGCAATTTTGGGTTTATGATGAGGCTACTACATCAGTGGTGATGAAGCTTAAGAAAAAATAGTATCGTATTATTGATCCCAAAGACTTGTTGAAGTTTTGAGAATGTGATATCCGCACTTTGTCAAACTTTCAAACAATTGTTGAGAATGAATTGTTTGAAGTTGCCACAAAAGCCTTCACTAGAATGGTAGCTACAATAACTGACAAGATGTTGTGGGCAAGGGCTTTTGACCAGGTAGACATGCATCTCGTAGAGAAGCCTTCAATTGAACTGAAAGCAATAAACCAAGGGGGAGGTTGTTGGGCTATATTTTGTGGTTTATGCTTTGTTTTGTATGTATCATATGGTTCTCGGTTTTGGACCGAAATCTCCTAGTGATTTTGGTAGGCTTAGTGTTTTCGGTGGGTTATTCTATTTAGGCTTTAGGTTAATCGGTTTAGCATATATATAGTCTATGTATAGCTGTTTGTGGGGTTAGATGCGATTTTGGGTGAACACAAGGTTATTCACGGTTGAAGGGTGTATGAATGTACTTGACAATTATTCAATAGAATTGTGTGCATTCATTTCAAACGTGTTCTTGTGATGTCTTATTGATTGTTTTGTATCATTGTTTGATTAAGATTCCGCATTAATCAAAGTATTGCATTTGTACCTTGATAGATCTGAGTTAAGGGACTTACTATATATATATATATATATATATATATATATATATATATATATATATATATATATATATATATATATATATATATATATATATCACATATTGAATCGAGACCGCGAAAATGAATTGTGTCAATATAAATCATATATGGTTAGATATACATAGTCATATGTGAATAGATACATAAGAAAGAGGTATTGAATCGAAAATGTGATAATGAATCTTGTCCACGTTAATCATATGTGATTAGATACATATAATCAAATGTGATTATATATATATATATATATATATATATATATATATATATATATATATATATATATATATATATATATATATATGAGGACAACTATTGAATCAAAAATAAAAAACCATATATGATTCAATACATATAATCATATGTGATAAAATAAATATAATCATATTTTATTAAATACACGAGAACAACTATTGAATAAAAATGAGAAAATGAATATTGTCCACAAAAATAATATGTGATTAAATGCATATAATCACATGTGATTAGACAATATTTTTCTTTCTTTCTTATTTATTTTAGGATTTTCTATACTGGTGATGATTAGTTCTTTTGTTTTAGTGGCATAAATCAATCCATTTTGCATGCAACTTCACTACATATTTTGTATAAAAATTAACATAGTTGTATAAGTTAGCAAAATGTTGAAACTTTGTTGCATAATATTAAGTAACCTTTTAGTTATCTTTTTTTAAATAATATGTATCATATAAACTAAATGTTGTTGATAATAACATGCCAGTAATAAACAATAAATTCAATAATGAGTCAATTATATAAGTTTTGATTATTGATGAAACTTTGATATAAGTTTCCACTTTTAAAAATACTTGGTTTTTGTAGAAACTTCAAGTCAACTGATGGGCTTCCACCTGGTAAAACAACTTAATGTATTTATATTTTACAAAATAAAAATAATCTAAAAAATTAAAGTTGCATACCTATAACGGCTCATTTTCATTAGTGGAACCAAGCATTTTGTTTACAATAGGTTTGCATTCATCCGGGGTTCCATAAGTTAAGCATTTCTCAACAACATTTGAGGCAAAATTTTGCAGACTAATTTTCATTGTTTCTCCTACAATCTTGTTGAAAATAACTAATCACTCATGGGGCTTACCATGTTGTAGTACATGCTAATGATAATAAACCAACAATATTATAATAATTAATTAAATCTCAAATCAGAAAATAAAACATATATTCAAAAGGTGAGTGAGTACCTGAATAACATCATTTCCATATTGGTCTTGTGATAGAGTACAAACCGAGTTCATGATTTCATCCATTACAACTTATGTATTATGATCATCACAGTACTCCAGAACCCTCTTTTAATGTCACACATAAGAGGAAGAAGAAATAGATAATGAAATATCTTTTTAATTTTTTCTTTTACTTGAATGACTTGACATCCATAAGGATGTGATGAAAGAGAAACAACTTGTCCAAATAAAAGAGAGACTATAAATGTAACATGCACGTTTCGAAATCGTGTTTTGTAATGAATAAAATTGTGAAATACTATGTGAAATTGAGTGTTGAGTTCTAACAGATGGTTTTTACTAGAAATGAAGTAAAACTATGTTTAGAATCACTCAGAAAATATTGGAAGACTTATGAGATTCCAATTAAAAGTCAAATAGTGAAATTTAGCCAAAATATAAAATTTTAAATAAGTAAAATTTTATTATTTGATGTTGTAGAGAATCTCGTTAGAAACTTGTAGGCGAAAACATCGTCGAAATCCGAGTTATAACGAAGAAGTTATAATCAACTGAAGATTCGCGACAAAACCAGCACGGCACCGAATGACGTAAAAAGTGAGTTTTTGATAAACTACTTTTTAGCCTTAGTAATCTAAATAAAAGTCGTAGTATTCGTTAAACCGAGAAATTCGATAAAAAGAACGCAAAAATCTGACTTCGTATGAGGATGTTATGATTTTTCGAAGTTTCAACTTCGCAGTAGACAGCTAAAAACTCGAATTTTAGATCGAGCGATATTTGACCAATACATCCTAAACGAGAATCGAAGGTCTCGTCATTTGTAGTACAACGGTAAAAAGTCTGACGAAAACGGATATCGGATGAAGAAGTTATGAATTTTTAACGGATTTTCCTGTCCTGGTTTGTTAAAAATAATAATATTAAAATTAAGTTCAAAATTAGCCGACGAAGTCTAAATGAAAGTTGTAGAGCGTAATTTTAGCTACGCGTGCATATAAAGAACGTCAAAAACAGAGCTCGTATGCGAAAGTTATGGTTTTAGAAGTTCGGGGCTGAAAATCCGAGATTTTCGCATGAACAATAACAGCCACGAAGCAGCCACGTCACCGGAGTCGTGGCCTCGCCTCGCAGTGCCACTTGCCCGTGTCCGAAAACTGCGAAGCCACCAGAGACCTTCGTTTCTGCCACGTCCTTCGCATGAAGTAGCTGCATCACCGGAGTCGTGGCGCGTCCGAGGAGCGACGCGTGCCGCACACCTGTCCGAGACTCGTAGCTGATGCGTGTCACCCTCCGAGCCTCGCACCTGGCCACCGAACCTCGCTCCGGCTGCTGCGTGGTCTTCGCTGCTACTGCCACCTGCCTCTCCGGATCTGAACCTCGCCCCTATAAATAGGGGGTGCGAACCCTCCCGGCTAAAATTTGAATTTTGCCATTTTTCACCCCTAAATCCATATTTTCACTATTTTGACTTTTCTCGAAGCCCAGATATCAATTTTAGCACCCGAAACACATCCCGAGACCCCCGAGAAGCCCGGAAATTTTATCTTTTCGGTTTTGAAGCCCGACCTTTGTAGAGTCCGGTTTTCAATTAAGCTCCCGGTTTTCAACATAGAAAGACATATTTAAAGCCGAAGTGTTATCCAAATTACTATTTTAACCCCCGGTTAACTAAAGGTGAGTTCAATATATAGGAAGAATTGTATGTTATGTGTTATATGTGCTATGTGCTTTTTAGTGTTATTATTCTGAGTTATTTTCTTGTGTTATTCACTATGTTTATAGCAATTGTAATACCTTTAACCATGTGATCAGTGAAAGGACTTAGATTCACATTGGTATTGGTACGTAGCCACTGGCCATGTAGAGCATGTCTCCATAAGAGAATAACTTCTATTCTATGGCATTGGCAAATGGTTAGACAGGACTATAAGCCTGAAATCTAACAAGATGTTAATTAGAAATTGCATGTCTTTATGCCATTTGGGCCAAAGCTTTATTGATGTATATCAAGAATTGAAAAGTATATCTTTGAATAAAGTCTTTGATTGATATGAATGCTTGTCACATGATCTCACATACATCTTGTTGTTCCTCTTTGCTTTTGCCACATTGAAGTATATATATGGAATAACGTTATATTGTATCTATTATTGAACTCACTAAGCATCACCGCTTACCCTATCAGTGTTTAACAATTGCAAGTGATAAGTAACTAGTATGTTCACATACTATTGAAAGATTTAGAATAGTTCGTAATAGTCCTTTTGTACTACAATTTATGTTTGTATAAATTACAATATCATAGGTAGTTATGAAATATATATAACACTTTGTAATAGAAGGTTTGTATCCAATAGTTTGTAATTCCCTTTATCAATGTAAAATATTGCTTTTATGAATATGAAAATAGCATGTTTTGGAGTAATGATATTGTGAAGTATGAAAGTTTGGGTCTTTCAAAAATATGAAAGTTGAGGTCTTTCAACCATGGTATCAGAGCAGTAGTTTAAGTGAACTAAATTCCACGGATTGGTATTTAGACTTAAACTATAGGAAGTTCAATATATGAACTTAATCACTGTAAGTATAGGGATACAAACATAGGAAATATATAAGTATTAGGTAATAGTAAACCCTAATATTCTAAAATACTATTTTACTCCGTATTTCAGATCAATGGTTGAACAAGTAAGTAGCCATACCCCTGAGGTTGGTGGAGATCCTCAACCCGAGGAAGTGAATACTCCTCGTGAGGAGCGACTCTTAGGTAAACTTACCGGTGTTATTTGACAGACTCTTGAAGAACACAAAAAGAATGATGATAAAGGAAAAGAGAAAGTTACTGGAGAATCCTCAAGCG